ATTAGTCCAAGAGAACAGCAGTGCCCAAGGCAGCAACATTAATGGGTCTCATCTGCCGCGGTAGGATCTGGAAAATTTAACCGTTACCCTATAAACTGAACAGCTACAGTTTAAGCTATTGAGTTTTCTTAAAGTCCAATTAGTAATACTACTTACGTATAAGTTGGTTATTCAAGGCAGTTAGCAACCAAGAAATTTAACAAAGCTATTGCAATTCAACAGTAAACAAATTTTTTTTTAATAAATTTTTCGATGGAATTGGAACAAAAATCAATTACATTTTCAGTTCCTTTCAAAGGAATTGAAAAAATAAATTACATTTTCAATTCCTTTCAAAGGAATTGAAATAAAAGAAATTACATTACTAGCACGTAATTTATTCCAATTACAATATGAAATTCCTTGTAATGGAATTAAAGAAAAAAACAATTACATTTGAAATTACTTCCAAGGAATTGAAAAAGTAATCGATTCCTTTGCTGTGAACTAAAGGAATTGAATCCTAATTACAATTACTGAGGAATGTAATTGTAATTGTAATGTAATTGCATTTACCCAGATCTGCTCAAAACTATTGTGCCTTTCCCACGGCTTTCCCAATTACGTTGATCGCTCTCTCATTCGTAATTCGCACTCTAATCACCCTTCGAATTACATAATTCGCCATACAAAATTTGGAGAGTGAATTACCTCATTTGTTAGTAATTCAGATCCAATTACCATGCGAATTACGTGCAAATCGGTGCCGTCTCTAAATTTGATCGACCGTTCTCNAAACTATTGTGGCTTTCCCACGGCTTTCCCAATTACGTTGATCGCTCTCTCATTCGTAATTCGCACTCTAATCACCCTTCGAATTACATAATTCGCCATACAAAATTTGGAGAGTGAATTACCTCATTTGTTAGTAATTCAGATCCAATTACCATGCGAATTACGTGCAAATCGGTGCCGTCTCTAAATTTGATCGACCGTTCTCTGTCTCTGTGTTTTGTTTTTGTTTTCTTCGCTGCAAAATGTAGGTTCTTCCTAAAAATGTACAAGTTTCCGTATTAAATTAGGGATATCCACAATTACTAACTTTACTTTTCGTACTCAGAAAAAATGCAAGTTTTGATTTGTGAGCCAGTTTCGATAAATTTCTGACAAAAATTACAGACGGCACCGATTTGTTAGTAATTCGCATAGTAATTGGATCTAAATTACCAAGAAATGAGGTAATTCGCTCTCCAAATTTTGTACGGCAAATTACTAGGGTTCGAAATTTCAGACTTTGGTATCGATACTGAGTACTCATTCTGGCATCGGGCTCATGGTATCGGTACTCTAAAAGTATCAGGGAAAAAGTATCGATACTACTCAGTATCGGACTCATTAAAATACGTTTTTTGGGATACTAAAATTATTTTATTCTTCAATCGTATATCTAGTTATTTCCAATTAATTAAAACAATAGACATTTAAAATATTTGATTTTTATTTCATTGCAGAATTTAATTTCACGTTAGAAGTAACTTTAACGTTAAATCTACATACATATATACATACATACATATATATATATATATATATACACTTTAACGAATTTCAAATTTTATTAAGAATTTTTGTAAACTTTGTGGGTATGTATTTTTGTAGCCTATTCAATTTTGTATAATTATGTGCAAGTTTGAATCAAAAGTCAACGGTAATAGCCTACACGTAAAGTTGAATAGGTTACAAAACTGCATATCCTAAAAGTTTCGAAAAATTCTGCATTTTTGTGAACTTTGCGTAAAGTTTTATGGCCTTATTCATAAAAAATAAAAAAGGTTTATAACCTGAAAAATGTATGAAAATGTCATTTTATTAAGCTCTTTAATCCTACTTTATTTTTTATGAATAAGGCCATTAAACTTTAACTTATTTGGTTTATGTTATGCAACAGACTACACGAAATTTCAGTTTATTTTAAGTGATGGACAAAATTGAATGATAGTAATCCATATAAGCAAAGAATATTAGGTTGTCAATGGAAGAAAAAATTTAAAAAATTGTGTTTTTTAAAAAGTATTCGATACTACGAGTACTTTGCAAAGTATCGAGTATAATCACCAAATAAGGTATCGAGTATTAAAGTACTCATTTTTATACCCTCAGTATCGATGCTTACTCAATATCGATAGTATCGTTCGAACCCTACAAATTACGTAATTCGAAAGGTAATTGAGTGCGAATTACGGATGAGAGAGCGAACCACGTAATTTGGGTGCCGTGGGAAAGCCGTATAGAAGTCGTAATTTTTCGATAGTATGGATAGTGTTAAAAACTATCGATAGTGCCATCGATAGTTTGACAGCTCTAATTAGAAGAGTGCAGTCCAACTACACAAGATCTGACAAGATGAAGCAAAAGAAAAAAGTCATTTTCTGGCTGACTTTTGTAATTTCGGCGCCATGTAATTTTATTTGAAAAGTAAACAATGAATATGAAGACGAAGCATAAAGAAAAAAATGCAAGCAATTTTGCAGCAAATGTTTTGTGTTAACCAATTTATTATTTTGTACGTGTTTTTGCAAACAATCACCGCGCACTTCATTTTAATTATATTTGCACAAAAAATTTATTGAAAATCGCTTAAAAATCACTGAAAAAACTACCGACAAAATACGCATAAAGAAAGAAGCAAAACAGAAATAGCAAGCTTCAAAATTACGAACGTCACACACTTTTTTCTCAATTGCTATTACAAATGGCTGCTTCTCAAGCGGTCAGATCTGTTCTAATTGGTTTATGATGTTTGGCGGTTCGATGTACTAGAGATGTCAGTTTACAGAAAACATCGATGCGTCGACTTGCATACATTGAGTGAAAAATTTTCGATGCATCAAAGCAAAACATCGATATTTTCGATGTATCGATGTTTTTTCGACATCCCTAGTTGAAAAGTAGTTGGTTGTGGTTTCAAGTCCTCCAAAAATTTTTGAGCTTTTAAATTTTGCGACATACAAAAATACGACACCGTTGTGAACATGAACAAGAGATACAAGATCACGCGTTAAGGAAAGAAAGAAAAAAGTTATTTTCTAGCTGTCGAAATCTCAACGCCATCTTTGTTGTAAGAAGTAAACAACGAAGGGAACGCAGAAACCCGCATAATTGTTGAACGCATGAATAATAATTTTTATTATGCAAATTCTTCCATAAATCATGTCGTGTTAAATTATTCTTTACCGTAAGGGGGATCTCCATAGGATGCGTATGTACAATATACAAATTTTTATAGCAGCACCTACATAGCAACGCATGAAAGTGTAAGACAATTGTGTGAATTTTGATTTCTAAGTGTAAATGTCAAACGCACGCATACGGATACGCATACTATGGAAGTCCGCCTTTATGTGTACATGCGTTGTCACAAGCAAAACTTAAGAAAATTGCAGTAAAAAGCCATCACTAAATTGTAAACAACGAACTAATATAAACAAACGGCTGTCAAAATCGCTACTTTTTTCCTAAATGCGAATATAACGGGCTACTAAGACGAGTGCGTGATTTTGTATTCTTGGTTCATGTTTGTGAATACTCCAATTTTATTTTATCTATGACATACATGTAATTGTGTCATTGCATCGCAAGTAATTCGCCAATTTAATTATAATTTCCAAATAGCTGCGGCATTTGTGGTAAACGATTTTCACGTGGTCACCATCTTCGAGCGCACCTGGAATCACTGCTGCATCAGAACGATCCTCGCTCTAAAATACTTCTCAAGCAAATTAGGCGTGAGGAAGATCAAATGGCTGCGTAACGGAAAAGGTCGCTTGACTACTTGTACAGCAGTATACAATGAATAGTATATGAATTCTTTGCTTTCAAATATATATAACAAGATTATACAAAACGATAAACAGTAGTTTTTAGTAGTACTTGCATTATGTTCTTGTATTTGAATATTGATTGAATGTGCGCTCACATTTAAAGTTGTTTTGGCAAACGAGGAAGCATGTAAAAATCCTTTTTATATCAAATATGTTCATTAATTAGGCTAAATTTTACGACTCTACAACATTGGCATTGTCTACTGTCGTGCTGAAATGAGTAAACGACGAAAATCGTCGAAAACTGCAGTGCTGCCAAATTTTCCCGTTGTAATACACTGTCGAGTCGAAATTTTTGGCAATGACATGAAATTTTCGATACGATTCGACTCTCGATAAACTACTTGTATTCGACACGACTCTCGCAATGAGGCTGAATATGTAATTTTTTAAATTTTTTTGTTTATATAAATACGTCATTATTGGGGTGCAATGGGGTATAGTCGTTGCGCTGGGTATGCAGTTACAGTTGCATGGCTATACTCAACCCCAGTAGGTGCGGCTGCAAGCGGGTGTCTGCTTGGAGCAAGCGGCTCGCTTTATAAATGTGAATTGGAGCAGCTTGTTCACCATGTGCCGCTCATTATGTGAAGACGATGAACGCCTTGCAACATCGTAAAGCAGATAATTTGCGAGCCGTGAAGGCCATACTGGAATATCATTACGTGGATGATTTTGTCGACAGTTTTGAGTCCGTAGCTGAAGCCATTAAAGTCACTAAGCAGGTGAGCGACATACATAAACATGCTGGGTTTACCCTACGTCACTTCGCCTCGAATTCGCCTGATGTCTCAAAGTCACTGGGATGCGATGAAGATTCCTTTACTTCTAATTGTCATTTAAATTTGCGCTTGTTCATTCCATATTTGTCATTTGCTGAAGTAAGAGGCCGAAAAAACTGCGGTGAGTAAACCTTTCGCGCTGGCTTTCGAAATTGAATGCCCCATAACCTTCTCGCAAATTGGCAGAAACGCGAGCAGTGTTACTGTTGGTGGATATGTGGACGGACGTGAGCGAGCACTAAATGTGTGAATACCTGGAGAAGGTTGAGGACACCCTAGTTGTAGGAGCGGTAACATGCAAAGTCGCAATAGGGAATGTGACGGTGTTTCACAAGTTCATAGTCGCGGATATTGTGGATGAAGTAATCATTGGGGTAGACTTCTTATTTGATCAAGGTATGCAGATCGATATGACGAACAGGATCATGACGTATAACAACATGGAAGTGCCCCTTAGCTTTGGATATGATGGCCCGTACATCAGCAAGCGAGTGATCCTAGGGGAAAGCAAACAGATTCCACCGAAGTCAGAAACAGTTGTTTGGGTGAAGATTGATGGAGATTGTGTAACAAACAAGTTGTGGGTTGTTGAAGCAACACAGAATTCCACGCCGGACGTACTTATTGGTAAAACCTTGGGTAAGTCGCAAAAAGATGCACGCTTCCCAGTTCGAGTACTTAATGAGTTCAAATCACCAATCAAACTCCGAAGAGGAACTGTACTGGGTCAATGTCGAGAGGTAGAGGCCATCGTCCACTGCGAAAAGTTACCTGAAAGCGATTCCATTGGCGAGAATGACATTGCGGAAGACAAAATCATGGACGGCAGCACAAGGCTAAGGAACTTCTCCTCAGATACTCCAACATATTCGACAATCGCATTGATACTGGCGATGCAAGGCCAATCCATTAAGCTCCTCGGAGTGTTCCACTTGCCAAACGTGCAGCTGTATGCCAAATAATAACAGAAATGAGCGAGAGTGGTGTAGTACTTGTGAAGAAGAAGGATGCTCCAATGCGGTTCTGTGTGGACTACCGAAAACTAAATGATGTGACGAAAAAGGACAGCTATCCACTTCCCAGGATCGATGATAATCTAGACTCGTTGACTGGAACGAAATGGTTCTCAACACTCGACCTCAAGAGCGAGTGGCAAGTGTAGGTTAGCGACGAGGACAAGGAGAAGACAGCTGTCAGCGTTGGAGATGGTATGTGGCAATTTGCGGTGATGCCCTCCTGCCACTTTTGAAAGACTTATGGACCATGTGCTTAAGGGACTGCATTGGAAAACACGCTTGGTGCATCTAGACGACATTATTGTGTTGGGTAAAAGCCTTGAGGAGCAACTTAACAGTTTGGAAGAAGTTTCTAGAGAATAGCTGGTCTGTAGCTAAGTCCTAAAAAGTGCTCATTGTTAAAGAAGGAGGGGAACTACTTAGGACACAAGGAGACAACGGAGGGCGTCAGCACTGAGAAGAAAAAGAAAGAAGCAGTGGAGGATTGGCCAAGACCTAGAACTACGGAGCTTTCTTGGGCTATGCACCTACTATCGCGGATTTGTTCCGAATTTCGAATTATTACCTATAGAGCTCCACTCTGACCAGGGAAAAAATTTAGAATCGGCGGTGTTCCCAGAGATGTGCCAGATACTGGGTACCCGGAAAACTCGAACAACGGCACTTCATCCCCAATCAGATGACATGGTGGAACGGTTAAAGCGAACCCTGGAAGAGGATTTGCGGAAGGTCGTGAACAAGAATCAGAAAGATCGGGATATTCTTGAACTCCTTCCAAGGTAATCTTCGGCACTGAACTTCGTTTGCCTAGTGACCTGAATTTTGGAGTAAGCGGTGATACAAGAAGATTTGGAAAAGAGACGTCCAACATCCTAGAGGAAGAGCTGAGAGAGATACATGCTGTAGTGAGACAACGAACGCAAATTGTGAGTGACAAGATGAAAGCCAGGTACGATAAGGCGATGAATTCCGAGGGTTTCCAAGAAGGAGGTTTGGTGTTGCTGTACAATCCACAACGGAAGAAAGATTTGTCCCGAAAACTACAATGCAACTGGGAAGGTCCGTATAAGATCGTCAAATGGCTGAATGATGTGGTATCGAATCCAGACCATTGGGATACCAAGGAACAAGATGAAGTGGGTCCACTTGGAAAGGCTTGCCGTGTTTGGAACAGCAAGTATGTGATAGACTTAGGTGGAGGGCAGTGTGGCGCATACTGCGGCAACGCGAAGCGAACAACGAGGAAATAGCAGATGTTCAAGGAATGACGTAGAATGTTCGAGGAATGACGTATAATGCTCGACAGCGAGAAACGTCAAGTGGATGAATTCTGCGAAAGCGAATGATAGAATGAGCGATAAACTTCAGAACGTTCTAGAGTTGGCATAACGGCGAGCGCAGGTATATAAGGCCGCTACCACAGTGGAAGTCGAGTTAGTTACAAGTGAGTAGCAAATCAGCAAGCTTTAAGTCAAGTTTTAAAACAGATCAATTGTATTTCAAGTGTTTTAACGTGTTTTAATTGCCTTAACAAGTATTGTAAATTGGTGTTATGCATAACAAGTATTGTAAAGTGTTTGTTGTACAATAAAGTTAATTGTACTGTAATTTGGCGATCTTAGGTGTTATTTAACAATCCAGCGATACGAACCGAAAGGATTTTGTGAAATCCGTCAAGTAGTCAATGATAATCGTAACAGTATACACAGTTTTATAATATAATATATATTTTATAATAAATAAATAATAGTATTTATTTATTTATTTATTAGGTTTGAGGCGGATATAACTGTGTAAAGAAACTGGAAATAACGAATTTGACAAACCAAGCGAAATTCCCTTTGCTTCAAGCCATTTGTGCTGTGTATGGGGGTGTTTGAAGGTTTGACAAACCGCCGTCAAACCTTCAAACACCCCCATACACAGCACAAATGGCTTGAAGCAAAGGGAAATTTCGCTTGGTTTGTCAAACCGCTTGTGTGGTGTATTTCGCTCTTTAGCGTTTACATCATGGATCGTGTAAACCTAGCAAATGAACCTGAATTGATTTCAAGTACTTGAATTATATAAATCGAGTGCTACTCCTTTATCTCATTTGTTAGTATTTCAGATCCAATTACCATGCGAATTACGAACAAATCGCAACTAGCTCACAAATAAAAACTTGCATTTTTTTCTGAGGATGAAACGAAAAGTTCATCATTGTGTATACCCTAATTTAATACGGAAACTTATAAATTTTTAGGAAGAACCTACATTGTGCAGCGATCGTAATTGGGGAGCGAAAAAAGTAATTCAGGATGTCGTGGGAAAATGGTACAAGTTGTATTTACATGTATCGATTCCTCCCAAGAATGATAGAATCGTAGGGATGGGCATATATCAAAAATGCATAGATACTTATCGTAGCGATACTTTTAAAGAGTATCGGTATATGCAGATATTTCGATATATCATATTTTTCACTAAAGCCGCAATTACCTAAAACCATTTTCCCACAGCACCTGAATAACTTCGTTCGCTCCCCTAACTACGATCGCGAATTACTCCATTCCCACGGGTACATTCTTAAATCGATTTAACAGTTCTCTATCTCTGGGTCCTTTTTAGTTTTTCTTCGCTGCAAAATTGATGCAAAATGTAGGTTCTTCCTACAGGCACTCGAATTCGTAGATTTTCTACGATGGATTCCGTGATAGCCCATTTGGCCATTATTTCGTGCAGCTTTCGAGATATGAAAAATTTAGACACGTACAAATCGTGACGCGAACATAGAACTCCTATACTTTACATATGTAGATCTATTTCAGTTATTCTAATCGATTAGAAAGAGATAGATTATCTGTATGTAAATAATGATTCGTAACTTCGGGTCATCCTAGTTTTATCTGTTTTCGAAGAAAAATGCAATAAGAAAAAGACTGAAGAGGTCTATATTTTTAAAATGTGAAAATATTGCATATGAACTGTCGTGCCGGAAAAAACTTCCTATTGAGAATAAAGCACAACATAGCATATGAGATTGTGGGAACGTCATAAAACGCTGTGATTATGTACTAGTTTTATACTAGGTTTACGTATAAGTAGATTATCCTCATTTTCGAGCTTAACTCCGTAATCTGTAATTAGAAAAGGAGATTAGCCATCAAAATTTGTCCCTTGTTAATCTGTAATTATAAAATAATCTCAGATTTATCCGATAACTTTTCGGTGTCCAGCCTAGTTTTATCGATCATTTTTGCGAAGAGGAGGAAACAAAATTAAAAGTAAAAAAAATGGACGCTACAAGGAAAAGAGGTTTGTAAAGGTATTTTTAATAAAATACTAAGTTAAAATATATTTAAAGTGCTTAATATAGCAGAAAAAGGTGATCACGGCGGCACGGAGAAGAAACAAATTCTAAAAGAAATTATATACAAATATGTAATTTTTGTCAATGATGGCCATTTGCATGCATTGTTTTAGGTTTCTGGCATATTATATTATAAAAGGCATCCAAATTCGCCCATAAATAAGTTAGATATGTGATTTTTTTGGGGAAGACCTTCCGCTAGAAACGCAAATATCGTACACCGAATTACGAGACGATCAGTACCATAACGACTGTTATAATCCGAAATATGCTTTTTACGTGACTTGTTGCTCGTCACCATGAACGAACACACAAGATCACGCAAGAAGAAGATAATGAAAAATGTCTTTTTTGAGCGGGTTCTACACCATCTTGTTTCGCTGGAAAACGAACTAAAAGTAAGGTAGAATATCTGAGTTAGTATATTTCATTTTCAAGTAACGTATTTTTAAATTATTAAATAAAGACTGAATTTGACAGACATACGCATTTATATATGTATTGAAAAAGTAACATTTACAGATCCAAATACATATCGTGTAAGAATGTGTTAAGAATGCTTTAAAACGTGTTGACATGTTGAATTAACTCTTCTTTAGTTAAAGAAAACAAATTCTCAGCTGAATAGACCGCTAACTAGGCATGAGTACAGTCCCGTCCACATAGAACTTTGGTGTTGCATTGGCGTTGGCGTCGCTTCAACAGCTGACTATGAATAGATGAATTAAAACGCAGCTGTCCACATAGCCAAAATTCGACAACGCTCACGCCAAAGTCAGCTGTTGCAAATAAATAAAATTATGTGAAGTATTTTTCCTTTTTAATCAAGTGAGGGCAAGAAATATCGTTAATTTATCTGTCGTTAGTATGTTAATTTAGTGGCCCATGCATTCGCTGCCAAGCGTTCATTGTAGCCAGCTTACTCATGATTCAACAATTACAGGTTGTAGCAATCATACAAAAACAACATTTACCGTTGGTATGAACTCCTTGTGCCATCAACATCTTCTTTATCTATTCATATGTATACCCTGCATACCAGGATTTCATAGAATTCTGAAAGGTTTCACAATCTTTTATAATTTCCTTTAAGAAATCGTACAGAAATTTCTTTACTAGTTCTTGTCAACCGCTTCATATGTTTTTCTTTAAAGATTTCTAAAAGAATCATAACAAATTTCCGACACTTTTAAAGATTTTGGGAGCATTTGTTTGCAGGGTATAAATATACGTATATATGTATGTATACGCGTAGATGTAAATAAAGCAAAACAGCCGATAATTTGACACAAGCGTGCTCATAAGAAGAAGCATAGCTTCTATCGCTATCACCTGTAATTGATGCGCCTTGCAGCTTACTCTTAACGTGCGTTCTGTCCAAACCAACGCCAGTGCCAAAGCCAACGAGAAAGTTCTATGTGGGCAGGCCTTAACACTGAGCTGCGCTGCGCAATTGCGTTAACACCATAGCCGGAGTTGCCGCGGCAACACCAATATATGAAAAGCGCTAGCGCCATGAAACATGAGATACACACACAATTCGCTTTAGTTCTTTGAAAAATTACACGTACTATTTATTTATCCTTTGAGTGGTGAGAACGCCAGAAACTTATGTACCTTGGCAAATTTAAAGCTTTTACTCTAGAATTGTGAGAATATCGTGGCATTTATTTACTACATTCCTAGCAGTTGAATTCTGTAGGCTGTACAAGCTTTGCTCAGCGCCGAAAATTAAAGAAATAATAGATATGACATGTGCATGATACTGTATGCCGATGGGTATTGTAGTGACGCTCAGATGCTGCCGTGATCAAATAGTTCACTGCGCTATTGCGCTGACACCGCAGCTGTCACCGGCATTATTATTCTAGCGCCCTAGATTGTCTTAAATGAATACCCCTATTTGCTCACAACTAGCTCTGGCAACGCCAATCTTTTTTCTTCGTCATTTTGACAGTTTCTACGTCAGTCGATGTTTATAAATTTTGTATTTTTCTGTAAAAGCAATCTTGAGATTTTGAAACCCGTATTTCAAAAAATACAAAATTTTGCTCGATAATGGAAATAAAGCTTGGGGTGGATACTTTGCTGATGTGCCGCATTTGTCTTCAAAGTAGTGAAGAAGGGGAGGAAATGGCATCTATCTTCGATCAAGATGCGGACTCGGTGTGCCTTTACGAGAAAATTGAAACCTGTGGAGGCATAAAGGCAAATAAACATACAATTTTTCAAATACTTAACTATACAATTCTCAAATCGTACTGCAGATCCTAACCGAGCCGGAGCTTCCGACGCGTATCTGCAAAAAGTGCAATGCTTTCCTCACTATTGCTCATAAATTTCGTATTATATGCAAAAATTCTGACGATTATTTACGGGAATTCTTCTTTAAATCTTCTGAGCCCGACGAAGAGGAAGACAATAACTCAGAGTATGTAATGGAATATAACTCGAAAGAAATTAATGCACAAGTAACAAAGCAAACCGAGCACATGGCTAATGAAACACAAAATGCAACAGATTATGAAGGGTTGGCAATTTACTCAGAAATGTGGATACAGGATGAAGCGAATGAAGATGATTTGATCGTCGAGGATCTTGGAGAAAGCTCACAGCATTCTCATAGCATCCAGGAGCAGAAACCAAACCCCAGCCCATCAAAGAAGACGCATGGTATCACATCGAATGGTGCTGCGGTTAAACGTACAAAAAATGAAAGGAAACTCAACAAAGAAAAACATGTACATATATGCGACATCTGCGGTAATATATATCCCCGTAAGTATGCGCTGGAGTCGCATATGAGACGTCATCGCAACGAGCTTCCATACGAGTGCGAGTAAGTTTAGTTAAGATCTATGTACTTTTTGCATGTTGACTTATTGGAAATTTGAGTACACCTGTAACTTTTTTGGCGTAGAATCTGTGGCCAATCGTTTCACCTCAATTACCAACTGACACGACATATACGGAAACATACTGGAGTGCGGCCATACGCGTGTCAGTATTGCAAACGAACATTTTCTGACCGTTCAACAATGCGTAAGCATGAGAGGTAAAATTCCTTCAAAATAAATAGAAAAAATTCTTAACTGAATTTTATTATAGAATACATCGAAATGAACGGCCGTACACTTGCGATATCTGTGGGAAAAGTTTTACGTATTCAGGCGTTTTGAAGGTGCATACGCTAACGCACACAGGCGAAAAACCTTTTACGTATGTACAAAATATATATAAAGTAGGAATCAATCATTTTAAAAGTAATAATGGCAGAGTTAATTAAGTAATTTCAAACTCGCTGACCAAAAATAATAAGTAAATATTTACAATTATTATTTTTCGCTCACATACATATGGGTGTTTCCATGAAAATGTCAACCAGGACTGAAAAAATAAAAACAACTGAAAAGGGTTTTTAAGACGAATTAATAAGAGTAAAATACTCGAATTTTTATATTATAGAAGTATTTCAGCTTATTGCAATTTTAAAACTCAAAAATTGAAGAGTAAAACTGAGTGTCTGTTCGACTCAGTTTTCTCTAATGGAATGAACTATTTTCTCTTTCCTATTAACTAAATTAAGAGATTTGAAACATTACAGATACATCTTAAAATCAAATTTGCAATAACAACTAACTATAAAAATGGGAAAAAGGAGAAGTTAGAGCTCGGTTAACGGTAATTTTTTGATTTGCTTCTGATAGTATTCTAATGTCGCGTACGTTATGCAAAAACATTGTTTGTCTATGTCATTTGTATATTGGCAGTCGCAGGTAATGCAGATTACAATTCTTAAGCGAGAATTCTTCCAGTTAAAGATATACAGTAAAATTTTCTTTCCAACCGAAGTCGCATACGTTATTGTAAGTACGAAAATTTCAATCAAATACATCAAAACCAATGTTAATTGCAAATTTTCCATTTAAATTATTTATAATAGTTGTAAAACAATGAAACGGTGGCGGGAAGAGTTCTCAAAATACATTTTATTACTTACGAGAAAAATTGTCGGGTACGTTATGTCGCGTACGTTATTGTGTTTTTTTTTTTTTTAATATAAAACTAGCCAGAGATAATTTCTTTTAAAATATAAAAGGATTGTAAAGGTACATTATTTAGCTTAGTTTAGGAATATTTAAAGAAAAGAAAAACTCCCATGATTCGCAGACTTTCGCATATATGTATATGTGCCTTAAAACCACTTATTTTTTTTGTCGCGTACGCTATCACCTGGTTTTGAACGGATATTTTGCACACCAAAGTTTCGAGGCTGCTTATTTTTTTCTCAAACACAACTTTTTTTTCAGTAACTTCTATTTTTGATAGATTTACGTTACTCTAGAAGCGTACGAATGTCGCGTACGGCTGTATGGAAACACCCATATACTGATTTCTATTTTTGTCTCTTAAAAATAAGCATTACTCATACGACTGCGAATAGGTGTTATTTTAAATGTACATTTAAGGTATTCACAACGGTGTCGTATTGTTGTATGTCGTAAACTTTAAACGGCTACAAATATAAAAACGGTGGTCGTATAAGTCATATTATGAATTTCCACAGTATTAAAAAGTAGATGGTTGTGGTTTCAAGTCCTCCAAACATTTAGTTAAGCTTTTAAAATTTGCGTCATAAAAAAATACGACACCGTTGTGAATATCCGAATTTTATTTATTTATAACACATATAATTTTAGTGCCATTGCGTCGAAAGTAATTCGCCAATTTAATTATAATTTCCAAATAGCTGTGGCATTTGTGGTAAACGATTTGCACAAGGTTATCATCTTCGAGCGCACCTACAAACACTGCTGCATCAGAACGATCCTCGCTCTAAAACACTGCTCAAGCAAATTAGGCGTGAGGAATATCAAATGTCTGTGTAAAGAAGTCGCTGACTGTTTCTACAGCAGTATTCAATGAAAAGTAGGTATATGAATTCTTTGCTATGAAATACATATAATAAGATTATATAAAAGGATAAACAGTAGTTTTTAGCGCAAATTGTACTTGCATTATGTCCTTTGTATTTGAATATTGATTGAATGTGCGCTCACATTTAAAGTTGCTTTGGAAAACAAGGAAGCTTGTAAAAATCCTTTTTATATCAAATATGCTTTTTCTACGCATTTTTCTGTGAAACAGCCAGAAAGTCCTTCCGTCACTGCTGACAGTTGTATAACCCCGCGTTTGCACAAGGCAAGACCAATGAGGATATGCACGTTATATCGTTTGAGTAAAGTAGGCATCCAGACAATAAACTGTCTTCGAAAAGCCAGAGACAGTGATGAAAACATCAAGAGAATTGGAAATATCTTTGTAAATCAAATGTGAATGTTTTGCTATTGTATCTGAAAAATTGATTTGTGTAAACCATATATGTAATACTCCTATATTGGCAGTAAGAGCTAGTACCGTCCGAAAACACTACAGTACAGATATGTCAATAAACACGACAGAAAAGGAACACATACGTTTATAAATAAACATGTACACGACTTATTTACAAAAACGGCACTCAAATACACAACACATTGACAAAAACGGTACAAGACTGTCTCGCTTTGATTTCAGAATGCTTACACATTGAGATGTTAGCTTACTACCAATATAGAAGTATTACATATATGGTGTAAACCCCAACTACGCGGCCATAAGGAACAGCTGATTTTTTGTTTGCAGACACAACACGATTGTGGCGTATCTCTACGGTACGTACGCCACTTCGCTTACTGCCATCCCTAAATTGGCGCGTCAAGCGCCAAACAACTGTCAAAAATCCTCATGCCCATACAATTTGTATGAAGCATCCCACAATAACGCGGCGCTAACGCCGAGCAAATGGAATTTTCATTTTTGACAGGGCGTTACGTGTTGAAGTTGGATGCGGAAGACGGAAAGAAAGAGAAAGGACAAAAAAGTGAAAGAGGAAACGAGAATAAAAACGAGAGGATCTGAGAAAACGTCAAAAATTACGACGCGTTGATTTGGGGATAGCGCGCGCTGACACTCGTCGACAATGGATAACGCAACGCTTAGCGCTCCAATTTAGGGACGGCAGTTACTTTTCCGTTATTGATGAACAAGTACCCATTCTGACCGGCCTATCAAAGTGTTCATTGGGCCATATGAATAAAAAAAAAGCAATTGCTTTTTCTTAAATATCAGACATTTTACTCGATTTATTCAAACAAAATTGAAGTAAACGGTATGAAAGTTTAAGAAAAAGCAATTGCTTAGTTTTTGTTCATACGGCCCATTGTCATATTACATCCGATAGCAAATTTTGTAAAATACAAAAATGGAAAATAGCACTAAAGCTTCCGAAATGTAGGTATTGGTTTATTTTATTAGCTATATGAGATAGATACACATATGCTACGTTTATACGTAAGCTATTTGCAAATAAAAATAATAATAGCAAATACCTAACTCACTGTTTATTCGATGGTGAAAAATTATTTTTTAATATTGCCTGATTATAAAAAGGCAATAATATGACCATCGAAAAAGAAAAAAAGTTAAAAACGGCCGCGTCTTGATTATAAAAAAACAATAAGATGGCCATCGAAAAAGAAAATTAACCTAAGAATGGCGGCATCTTGCGCCTATTTGCAAATAGTACCACTAATCAATACTTATTTGCGTGATTTAGTTATTTGCAAATAAAAAATTAACTCGTCGTTTATACGGCAAATTTTCCATTTTGCAAATTGTTATTTGCAAATAATACGTGCATATAAACGTAGTAATAAAATCATTGTGTAGAACTGATTTCTTGATTCCGGGCACGAAAAGTGGTTTTTTTGCGTTCCTCACGCTCTAGGCACTTTTAGCACGGGTTGACACATTTTTGGCACTTGTGAAAGAGTAAACTTATTTTTCGTTCTAATTACCGAAACAGCCCGGAAAGCGCGGAAACCTATTGTCCAAATATTCGATACTGGAAAAGTATTGCATATTTCTTAAAATTTTAATCTAACCAGTATTCATCGGATATGGACATCAGGGGCACCCTTTCTGTGATGTGTACCCTGTTAACCTGATTCTATTATTCGGCACAGCGATATTTGGATCGTGCCGTGTGTCAATGATGCATCGCGTTCAATATCATAAGATTTCTAAATTTTTTGTAATCCATCAATATGGATCACGATCCAAATATCGCGATGTTGTTGTAACAGCATACAAATTTTCCAAAGAGTTTTTGGGGAGTGTTGCTGGAGCGACAGTCCTTGGCCTTATATAAAGCTGGGTCGTTCCCGTAACGTAGACCCGTCTGTCGTGAGAACGCAAACATCGCGATCCGTATTGATGGTGTGACAGGCCCATAAAAATATCGATGTATTTCTCCATTGTTTTCTGGAAAAATATCGATATTTTTTTACCCAAACCTCGTTGATTCATCCCTACTTGACCGATATCTTTGTTATTTCCTTTATAAATTTTTGCGAATTTTCGTAACAAAACTACAGAATATTAGATATAATTAAGTTTTTATATGGTGAAAACTCATTATGAAATAATGAAAGGTGTTATTGCATCATGGTGAAAACTAAGCTGGAATTGGATGCACCGACTATTGTGTGCCGCATTTGTCTTCAAAGCGGAGAAACGGGAGAAGAAATGGCATCTATCTTCGACAAGGATGCGGACTCGGTATACCTATACAAGAAAATTGAGCGTTGTGGAGGCATAAAGGCAAGTACAACATATAAAATATTATACAAGGCCAATAAATAAAGACTAAATTTAATAAAATAACGAGATAAGTTTAGTGCAAAATATAAATATTTTTTTTATATGGAGATAAACCATAATTTATTTTAGTTTTTTTTTTTTTGTTAGAGTGTAATAAATGGCCGAACAAACCATAATTTATTAAGATGCATTCTAAAACACGAAATTACCTTACAGATCCTTACCGA